TCCGTGGCTGAAATAACAGTGCTGTGTATTTAAAAAACCCAGTTTACTTCTAGTCACCATTAGGGATAGGAATCGATTTAGTCGACTAAAAAATTTATATGTAAATTACTATGTTTAGTCAATTTAGTCGACTAAATCATATAGCCGATTCCTATCCCTAGTCACCATAACTCAATCCTGTATATACCTGAGTACTCACATGCATATGCATAAACTTACTGATACTGATCGTACTGGTCCTGCGCGGCACCGCGTGCTGCGCAGCTATCTTATAATTATTATAATACATACAGAACTCAAATAACATACTAGTTCACAAAAATGATATTAAGATAGCCGACCTTGGGCTGTCTAGAAGTTTATCTGATGCATCAAAAACTAATACAAGACTTGCTGACTATATAGCATACATGGATCCTCAGTGCCTTAAAAATTCTGATCAAAAATTACAGGAAATAGATAAGGAGTCTGATATATACAGTCTAGGCGTGCTTTTATGGGAAATGTCTAGTTTACGTCCTCCGTTTGAAGAAAAAAATAATCTGTATATTCAGATAATGAATGGTTGTAGAGAGACACCTATTTTAGGAACCCCACCACAATATTCTACTTTGTATACTGGTTGGTTACTCATATTTTTACGATTTTAATCGTTATTATTTTTCAAACATTAAATCATTTATCTACTAAAGAATGTTGGCAAGATGATCCGAAAAAACGACCTACTATTGATAAAGTTGTATATGAACTCGGGTGAATAGACTTAAAATTAAAATATGTAAAAAAAAATTTAATCGGATCGAGCAACATTTCTAATCACATATATATCAAACTAGTGAAATGCAAATAAAAAGGTATTCGATGCTAGCATTTTCAATGTCTATACTTTGCTAAATACTGAAGTACCATTTTTATAATCAATTTTATAGTCAGTAAGTATTATTTATGTCATTTAAATTAGTGTGTGCAAAAGGTTTAATAAACCATCGTTTCAGTGTAATTCATAAAATACGCAGGCAATGAGTAATTTTGCGACATAGAATTCAAATAGTACTTACTAATCACTTTACTGACATATGAATCTCAACGCTTTATCAGTGACGACAAGAATGATGGCATTAACAAGACAAGTAATCCACTGAATGAAGAAGCGTCATTCCCTGTACCAATGGAATATGAAGTAACAAAGACCAAAGAAAATCAATTTCATAGTGCCTTAGAAGTATCATCATACTTTGTACCTTTCGCATCATTAATAGATATATTCTTAAAATTAGGGGAAGATATTATAACTTTATATAAAAAGGCAGAATATAATAAACATTTATGTAGTTATTTCACAAAGCGTGTAAATTTTGCTGTCGCAGTTATGAAAGATTTAGAAATTCGAAAGCAAGAAAATTTAGAATTTTTTGTGGAACAAACTAATCTTCAACTTATAGATATTATAACTTTATATAAAAAGGCAGAATATAATAAACATTTATGTAGTTATTTCACAAAGCGTGTAAATTTTGCTGTCGCAGTTATGAAAGATTTAGAAATTCGAAAGCAAGAAAATTTAGAATTTTTTGTGGAACAAACTAATCTTCAACTTATAAAG